TATGGCAGGCAGAATTTAGTCCTTACTTTCCCAATTGGAGACTTTTCAGTCAAGCATTTAATTTCATTTTATTCATTTAAAATTGGAGCAGATGCTGAAAACTGAGTTTTCTACATTCCAGCTTGAATTATTAAGCACCCAAACATAAACACTCATTTCTTTTTCCCATTAGGAGAATACCTGTGGGTTTGACCTGAAGACCAGGCCTGAGGTCCATAATGCCAGATGATTCATTTTTTTTATATCTGCTGATACAGCATTATACCAAACCCTCTCTATGTGTCAAGCTTATTAATGCAGTGTCTGGAGATTGTTTTAAATGGCCTGCTGCCATTCCAACTGGTATTTTTATTGTTTGCTTTCCAACAGAAAATGCTCTTGGAAAAGGTTCCATCATTTCGTACTGTCTCCTTGAGACCCAGATGTCCATTCCATGTTACTGAGAGAGAATGCTCCTGGAAAACTCTGCTGGAAGTAGGGAGGGACTTGTTTTCTTTTCCTAAAATACATGGTATAGTTGTCTTATAAAACATAGCTGAAGGAAGAGGTCTGCTCTGTTTTTCTAGAGGGACTGAGTTGAAGCTGGAGGGTATGTTTTTAGTTGCTACCTTTTTTAAGATCATTGCACAAATGTGTGGAAGCACATACAGCAGAGCTGATGTTCTGGTTCTGCCGTATGTCCTTAAATCAAAATAGTTACTATTACTGCATTTGTGCTGAAGCTCAGTCTTGGATAAGGCATCTTTAAATAGATGTAGCCACAAGCTGTAAATCTGCTCAGTCTTCTACAAAGTTTTAATCAGGTATGCTTAAAAGTCAATCTGTCAATACCTGGGAATTCATCTGATTAAAAAGGAGATACATAAGGAGGTCAGGTGTCTCCAGAGTTAGGCAGTAGTTGAGCTGGATATTAGGATTACAGTTAGGATTTAGGTGTCTAAATTTCATCTTGAAGCATCAAGTTGCTTCTTTTCAAAAACAAGTATGTGGACTAACTGACCCTAGCTATATCAACAGAAAGAATTTTATGGAATATGCCCTCAACAATGAAATCTTCAAAGTAATGAAATTTATGAATTTTCCTGATTGGCACAGGTAAAGGCTAGGACCATTTCAATCAAATGGGGTAGATATTCGATCTTACTCTGCCAGGTAAAAGCACACATCACTGTAATTTGTGCTTTCAAAACTTTCAAGAAGCAGCAGCACTGTAGCCCTCGCATACTTGTCTCCAGGTGTGTGATACATATCCTACTGCCTTTCTGCAGACTCATCATCATGCAGTTAATAGAAAGGTAATGAAGCAATGGGAATTAAAGAATGAAACTGATAATAACCACATATCCACAGAGTCCTAGTAGCGCTTAGTAACATCATGCATCTCATCATATTGTGGATATCTAGTGGATGACAAATCTAAGATTTACTATCTCTTGTGAAAAACATTCCCAAGGTTTGCAGCTTTTCAGTAGTTCCTATGTTTACATGTTTTTTCCTTTTCCTGTTCCTTGTTTTTCAGTATATGTTTTACTTCTTCACTTCACTATGACCTGATCCTTCTGGCTGGATATTTTCAGGCCAAAATGACTATAGGTACAAAATTCCTCTTTAAACTTTCTCCTAAGTGTTTTCAGTTGTAATGGGATCATGTATTGGGAAATGAATATTATGGTACCACATATTCTTAGGTACCAAAGGCCTAGATCCAAGAAAAGCAGATCTCACTAAATAAGAGCAAAAATCTGAATTTCTGAAAATAACTCATGTTGCTGTAACTTTCAGCAGGTGAACAGATACAAGGATATCTACAAAGAGACCTCATCTCCCTCTCTGACCATTTTTCATGCTGATTGACCATAAAATAGCTTGGAATTGGAAGTTATAGGGCTTCATTAGTGGTCATAGGACTGTATTAATGCACTGCTTGTCTTCAAGCTAATTAGCCCTGCTAAGCACTTGAGTACTGTCCAGGCATAAATTGCTGCAAATACTTATTCCATATGAAAATATTAGTATGTACAATAAAAAAAAAGAATCATTTCAACATGCCCTAGAGTCTTCTTTTATATAAAAACCTGTATCATTATCATCAAGTTCAGGCTCCTTTTTCTGAGATCATATCCGTTACCTAAGTACAGCCAGGGAGTGCCAGCTACTTCATGTATTAGTAGCAATCTAAGAAGTAATGTTCTTGTCAGGAGGCACAGCAGCTCAATTCATCTTACTATGCCCAATCACAACCTTGTATAATAATGTTGTGCTCCCCCAGAGAGGAACAGAATATTTCCTTTTGTCTTCATTTAGTGTTTGCCATTTCCCCTTTATAAATAATATGCTGCAGTTAGGAATCCTCATGCTGCTAAAATTAAAACATTGTTTTCCTTTTGGCATCCAGGGATCTGCAAGACAACATGAAAAACTGGTGCATGTGACCCTTTTCAACAAGAAAAAGTTGAAAGGCGGCAGTTTAGGCTTGGCTCCTAATTTGCCTTTTAGCGAATGACACATTTGTCTTTTACCACACATGCACAATTCCTTGCTCTGGTGATGTCCCTGCAATACCTGTGGGGAACCTACAGCCAGGGAAGAGGGGACTTTACCATAATATATCTTACTCTGAGTATGCAAAGCTGCAAAGACGGCTGCTGCAACCCTGGCAGCCTCCAAGGAAATATTATTCATTATGTATTTACAGTTATTGGATTAAAACTTTGTAATGTGCTCTGTTCAATTAATAATAATACAGAGCAGAATGAGCTATGAAATGCATTGGGCCTTTTAAAAGATCTAATATAAGAAAAGACAAGCAGTTTGTCCTAATGAATGCATCTAATTGGTGCACTTTATTATAAAACACTGGAACAGCATTTTTCACCAGGCAGTTCTATTTGTAACAGACTGTCTCCAGCACGTCAGGGTGTAATAAATGTGCTGCAGACTAGAACTGCTGATTAGTATTTCTGGTAGCCCGGGAACTTAGTAGAACTTATTTGCCATTGCAGAAAGACCTTCCAAATCCTTACAGAGGGACCAGCAGCACTGTGATCTGTTAGGGATACGCTTATGTGATCAACCTTCTGGACATCTCTGCCATTAGCCCACGGGATGTGTGTGCAGCTGTGGCACCTGAACATCCCAAACAACTAAAATTGCTGGCACTTTGTTGTACCCCTGGTGACTTCCACAGTAGGCTTTCAATAAATAGTGTCTTCAACACAGCTTTCACAGCAATAGCTTGAGACAGACGTATGGTTTATGTATGACTGTAACTCACTGTCCACATCACCCTTTGTTCATTTTTGATGAATGTAAAGAGGAAGAAAGAAAGGATGCACATGCAAGATTTCTTTTGAGGTGTAAGAAGAAACAAAAAGCCCTAGAGGCACTTCTAAAAACACACCTTAAAGCCTTAGAGGAAAACAGTCAACAGTCAATATTCCTTTGGCAGGACTCATATAGAGAATGACATGACAGCATTCAAGCAAAATAGTTTAGATAATATCAAGTTTATACAGAAATCAAATCTATGCTGAAGAAATAAAAGACTATGAAAGGAGTGAGCTTTGACCCAGAATTCTTTTGTTTTCACTCTCAATAACTAAAAAGAAGCTTTTCAGGCCTGTATTTCCCAGAAAGTACCAGTAAATTCAGTCAATTTTATTTTCATGCTTTTGAAATAAAGGATACCCAAGAAAGTTCCCTCAGAAAAATAAAGATCCTTTCAGGTGCAGGAGACACTTCAGTCCTTGTATTAGGATGCCTTTCAGTCTCAGCAGTATCTTCATTTCCCTTGGTATTCACTGAAGAAAGATGTACCCGGCACTTCTCACTGGGACTGGCATTCCATTAGCCTGAACCTGGGAACGTCTCCCAACTTTATGGTGTTATTCAGCCTAACAGCATTAATCTGCCTTAATACATTTTCCAGTAATAAGATGGATCCACCCCATTACTTTTACTAATTTATCTGAAAGAACAGAGGCTTCCACACTAGTTGCTTGGGCACTGCCCTGGTATCTATAGTGTTCAAAAACCTGCTGATTCTCTGTAATGCAAAAGAATAAATTATACAGCCATGTAGGGAGAATATGACAGCATATTTACGTTCATTAATACTCCTGTCCCTGAGAAAGGCAACTTTATGATGAGGGACTAGTACAACCGAGGTCATGGGTTACAAGTAAACAAACTTTGTATATGCATTTCTGTTAGAAGTCTAAGACAGAATCACAGAATATGCTCAGTTGGAAGGGACCTACAAGAATCATCAAATCCAACTCCTGGCCCTGCACAGGATCATCCCCAAGAGTCATACCATGTGCCTGACACAGAAATGTTCAAATGAGACAGAAGAAAATAAGCCTCAAGCAAATAGAACCAGGCTACTACATCCCTTCTTCTGTCACACAATATACAAACTGATCAGCCTCAATTATACCATATTATGTTTTCGCACCAACCAAAGCTGAGACCAAACCACAGGGAAGTAGAGAGGCACTTCTGGGTGGCATACATACCCCAGGCCTGGGCTTTGCTGCCCACTGACAGTGGTGCTGAGGCTTGTTTGTATGATAAACAAAATGGTCCAGGGTGTGACTTTTTACTGAACTCCTGCTCGTATTTTGACTAAGCTGGCTCATGCTAAGACCTGACCTTATACTGAGAGCAGCAGGATTAGGTGGAAGTAAGAGTACCAGGTAGGCAGGACAGGTGGTCAGAAAGAGCTGAAGGGCCATCATTCAGCCACAATCCCCTGCAAATTGCTGTCTCCAGCAGCCACTATGTTTAGTCTGGTAGTTTCTTCAGAATCCACTAACTTTCAAAAATGGTATAGACCAAGCCTCCAAGCTGGAGAGTATAAAGCATCTACCTGAAGATGCCCCTACTCATTGTAGAGGGTTGGATTACTTGACCTGTAAAGGTCCCTTTCAACCCAAACCATTCTATGATTCTATGATCTTACCCAAGAGGCTTTTGAAGCTGAAGCTTTCCTTCTTCCTGGTGTGATGCAGGGGATGCTGCACCATGATGGAAGAGGAAGGATTAGCACTTTCACCGTTGGCTAGGTAACCAATTCTTCTCTTTGCTCATAGCTGTATGATATCAAGAGTCATGTGTTATAAGTTATTAAATCTCATGAAATCTTATTCACTTGAATGGTGAATAAGTTCATTCACATGACAGATTAGTCTGGGTAAAAGGTGATGGAACCTCTGTTTGTCATGTTTGTTATATTTCTTAATAAGCTCAGGAAATACAGTTGAAAATACAGAGTAAGTTACCTTTTAAATTTGAAAATCTGAAAGGACCTTGGCACAGGAAAAGCTGCATTCAAATCCTGCCTTGGTATCATTCAGCCCTGGCTGCCCATTCTGGTCTCAGGATAAACCAAGGTGTAATCATTGATATTACTAGAAAAACAGCAAAGGCTTATATATTTCACAGCATACTGTACTCCTGCTACCCCTTTCTGCCCAAGGGTATGTGAGATACAACACAGGGGTGTTGTGGGAATACTTACGTTGATTAAACATCTCCAAGTAACCCTGCAGCAGTGAGCTGCTGGCTTTTGGCCACTCTGTACAGTATATGGACCACTGTCTTCATTCTATTAACATAATTTTATCTGCTGATGCTTCTGAATATTATCTTCCTTGTCGTTTACCTAATTGCCTATTACCTGTTTTTCAGTGGTATCTACTAACACTCATCCTGATCTATATATCACTGTGTCCCCAGGAGTCTGTTGCCTTCTGTTCTTCCACCTTGAGCCCCAATTAGGGGCACCAGCCAGGACATGGTATGCCAAAAGGGTGAATGGGAATGAGTTTGGAAGGCTTGCTCTTCATGCCACCTGTCTCTTCATGAGGCCTGTGGCATATGTTAAACTCCTAAACATTATGTAATGCTGTTTGCCCTATGCTTAGACTAAGACAACAGCCCTTTCAGATGGTTTGGCACCACAAGCCCCACAGGAATCACGATCTCATGAAGGGGATAAGTATTTCAAGAAATAAACTATTCAGAAGAATTCTGAAATTCTTTGGTGACTACAAATACACAATAAAAAGTGTATTGCCTCTTGACATTCAAGAGACAACAAGGAGAAAAGCAAACCAAGCCCCACAAAAACAAGAACAGAAGCTTTTTCCTTAGTGCCTTTGATGACAGGATATAAAAGAAATTGTCAGTTTCCTTTTTAAAAACAGTGGTCCTAATTAAGATTTCTTACACACTGGAAACAATCTCCTTAATAAGTCATAAATAAATTAGAGATATTCTACATAAACAGTCAAAATACAAACGTGAATTAGTTCAGCTTGATGAAAAATATTTGTGTATTTTGTAAATCAAACTCTGTCATCTAAAGGCATATTTTGCCCTGCATTTTCAATTGATTGAGCCTAAACCAAAATGTTCCCTTTTGGGTCAGAGGCTGGGATTGGCCTTTTAACTTGCTTTGCAAAAGCTTCCAGGCCTGAACTTTCTCAAGCATAAATGTCAATACAGTAGTCAAAGTGTTTGGCTTATTCCAGTTAAGACTTTTTTTTTTATATTTCCATATATAGGATAACATTAATATTAAAAAATAATCCCCAAGTTCTGTCTATTATTAGAATATATGCCAACATACAAAATAAATAAAACATACTGGGGAGATTCCTCTACATGTTATCTCCGAAATACACACAGTACTGTAATTTCTTGGAACAAGTACATAATGCATAAATATTTCTGACAGTGGCTTATAAAAAGGACATGTACGGTGTATGATTATTGCAAACTATTTTTTCTGTCTCTGAAAGATTCATGATAATTTTGTTTTACTCAGTGTTCCTGAAGTAGACACAGTCTGGTTGCCAAAGGAGATGGTATGGGATGCCAAATAGTATGGGATGCCAAAGGATATCTGAAATACTTACAGATAGGTCAAAGATAAAATGGGAAAATATATACTGAAAATATATGAGAATTTTTCAGTAAATTATTATTAATTAACATTATTTACCTTTGAAATCGTTTATTATCCTTTTGGTTTGAGCTAAATTTTGCATTGCTTTTGCAGCAGAAGGGCTTTCAGAGCCTGCACAAATCTTCTCTAGCTGAACAGAGGAATTTTCCAAGGAATTTTTCAAATTTCCAAGTCTCTTGCAGTCATCATTTTACCCCAAAACAACTTAGTGAACTAACTATAGTCTTAAATTACTCCTCATTAAGCAAGCTCCATGGGTTTCTAATGCACCAGCTACTGCACATCAAACTGCTAAAATAACCACTTTGACTGGTTTCCCTTTCCCTTAGTAAGAGATACAGGTACCCTGCTGTTTTGGGAAGTGATTTCTCCACATCCCAAGTCTCTTGTTTACTGAAACTGAGTAAATACATCATAAAAGAAGTGAAAGGTCTATTTGCTGATAGGTTACAGGCCTTGATTATTTGTAGCTTTATGGGTCTTGGTGTTCATTTTTTTATAATATCTTTTTCCTAATTAGGATTTTTTCCCATGATCCAAACTTGGTCATTTTCTTCTATGTAACTGAATGAAAATGAAGTTTTTAATTAAAGAATTTAAGCATTTAAAGACAAGAGTACAAATATGGTGTCCTCACAGGAGCAGTGAAAACACAAAATATTAAATATATTTCACAGCTAATGTATTTAGCTTTTAAAAAAGTGAAAGCTGCATGACTATATTATCATACTATATGATTATGTTTTTAATAAGATTTTACAATTTTGGGCTGGCTGGAGTCAAGGGCTAAGAGAGTTCCCCTCTGTTCAGAATACTGTATATAGTTAAGTCCTGTCTGATAGACAGCACACTTTTGACAACATAATTTACACAATTAACTTCCTTATAAATTATCATGCAAAAGAAAAAACAAATTCTAAATTTCCTTTTTAATTTTGGCACAATTTGGAGAGATAGAAAATATTCACTCAGAACTGTATGAGTGTACATATAGGGAGATAGTTTGATGTCTTTGAATCTGTGAAAAAAAAATACTGATTTCTGAGAACTAAGGGTGGTTAATAAATACATATCTAACACTTTCACAGAAATAGCCAAGCTTCTCACTGCTATTTTGATTAGGCATGCTAAGGGTTGGTCACATTACAGCATTTCCTCTTTCTGATTCTGTAATTGTTTCTGTTAAAACCCAAGTCCAAATGCCAAGTGTTCAGATGGGGAATAACAGGCTTTTTTCGTCACACGTAATTTTGTTTGAAAAATAAAGGGATTCCTCAGAAGAATATCAATGTCCAAACAGTGAAGTAGTGGGGATGTGAGTGAGTAAAGGGAGAAAACAGCCAATATTGGCTCACACTGCCAGCTGTTAACACAGACTAATGGAACTCAAGGCACAGACACACCCCTAAATGCTGGTTTGCCACTATTTTATCAGTCACACTGGAGGCACATTTGCCCACAGAGAAGCCTGGGCTTGTATTACTAAGTAGATGAATATCATCACAGGAGAGTCAGCCTTTGTGCTAGGCTTCCAAGTACACCTAGTGCACCTCTCTGAGGCATGAGGCACCACTAAGTATCAACTTTTCCAGGGCTTAGTGGCAAAGCTCCATAGACAGAACGTGAAAATATAGAAGGCTATAAACAGATATAGAAATAGATCCCTGCCTTTCCTATATACTTATACATGCTGTAGGCATGCACACTTCTGAATACACAGGTACCCTCTCACACCAGTCAAGCCACATGAATGGTCATATGGGTACCAGAGCCAAAAAGCAGATGCCTGAGCCTGCTTTGAAGTCCATAGCCCTTTAAGAGTTTCAAAAAGAAATCTCTCCAATACCACACCTACATCCATATTATTGCATGTGTACATAGGAAGATTGTGTGTGGCAGCCAGGCACTTCTTGGAGGTGCCAAGCAATAGGAAAAGAGGCAAAGTGGAGAAACTGAATGTTCCACCTGAATATGAGGAAGAACTTTACTGTGTGGGTGACCAAGCACTGGAACAGATTGCCTAGAGAGGGTGTGGAGTCTCCCTCTCTGGAGATACTCAAGAACCATCTGGATGCAATCTTGTGCCATGTGCTTTGGGATGACCTTGTTTGAGCAGGGAGGTGGGACCGGGTGACCCACTGTGTCCCCTTCCAATCTGACCCATTCTGTGATCAGACCATAAAGATCTCAAGCGTAGAACCCTATAGTGTCTAACACACTGTGGGTATCCCCTTGCTTAAGCCAAAACCCTCAGTGGGGTTGTGATGGCTACATCCAGCTTACTCTGGACTTTGTGGGTCAGATGGCAACTGGGCCTGTCTGGAATGGTGACCCAGACATCTTGCTGTTATGCAAATATGACTGTAAGTCAATCATTACTCCGTAAATAGTGGTCATTCCAGGGCCCACTGAGCTCTCTTGCACAGCAGCAGGCTGCATACCAGGATTCCCCCTTGAGCAGGGACATCTCCCAAGATTAGTCTTTGAGGCTGAGAGATTCTTTGCCACCATAGATTCTCTGTAAGTGATTAACAGCATGCTAAGCTTTGAAATCTTAGCTAAGTGATACAGAGGATTGATGGTGCATACATAATCCTTTAGACATAAACCACTGACCATGTCTGGGATCCAGCTGCACCCAGACTCCTCTCTGAGAAGGACTTTAGAAAGCAAAGAGGTCATTTCTGAGCTTCATGACTCAATGGGAAGGTCTCCTGGACAGTTTTGTTTGACCCTCTCCTCCATGCAGCAAATAACCAGGAGTACCTCTCTGTGGAATCTTGTCAAACAACTGTCACATTTACCACTGAACTTTGTTAACTCCTTCTTTTCTATCAATAGTGTATTGTGGCCTCTCTGTTATGAGTAAAGTGCATGACTCCATCTGTGACACAGTCCCACATCGTTTCCTAGGAGTTCAGAAACTGAAATAACCAGACTGTGTCTTCTTCAATTATTTATTTCTCATCTACAATCACTTCATCTCCGAGGATATACATATGATATTACTCAGCTGTTTATTCCTCATAAACCATTTTACTACACTTAGGTATGTCAAATCAACATAGAAATCTGTAATAGACCTATTAAAACTGGTCATTACAGTCATCTTATTGCTCAAGATTGATAACAGGACTGAAGGATAATAAAACATGATGTTTCAAAAGCGAGCAATAAAAAAAGTCACAAAAGAACAGAATAAAATTTTTATTATGCAGTGTCAGGAATGTAAATAGTTTCAAAAGTGATACTGTCAAGCCTTTTGGGATCCATCTCATGGTGCAGCCTCTTCTCAAAAAAGTGAAAATGGAAATAACTTCAGAGTACAGACTGATAGTTTATAAAATAAGTGTAGACAATACTCTGCTCAATAATATATATTGAATTACATCAGCTTAAGTTTTGGACAGCAATTCTAAAAGCACATGATAGAATCAAAATTTGTTCTACCACAGGAATATATAAAATTTGTTACTTTGGGAAGTCACATCCTGCCACAGTTAAAATTATTAGTACATCCGTCTATACTCTGAAAATCTTTTTTTGTTTGGTTTGGTTTGGTTTTCAGATCACTGGAAACACTCCTTATCTATAAAAGTAACATACCTATTTTTTATTGCCTGATTATGTTCCAAGCTTTATTTACGGAAAAGTCTTCCCAGCACAAATATTTATGCACGAGATGATGACATTCTGTTTCAAGAATATCTTCACAAGGGGGTAGGAAATACACTTCTTGGGAATATTTTGGAGACCCGAATGCAGTTACTTAACTGCTCCATGTCTGTGACCTCTCTGGTACCTGCATACATGTTCCAGTAAAAGTGAATCGGGAATGGAATGAAAATTCCAGTGGAAAGGATCTTCTGTATCCTCCCCCCCACTTTTAATTTAGTGTCTAAATTCCACTTGCTTTGTATTTTAGTCATATGATGTGGAAGTCTTTTTACAAAACCTGGTCCTTAAGTAACATCAAGTCTGCCACTGTATTTCTAGTATTTTCCATGTTCTCCAGATTCAGTTGTACGCAACAAATAAGTAAATTAATTAGGTTTGGGGTTTAACAAATATCTCCTACATCATCAGTAACAACAGAGCAATTGAACTACTGTCTGTTTTTTGGCTGCTGAGCTGAATAACTCAGTTTTCAGAATTTCTGTGTTAAATTTTTTAGGGAAAAGGTGCCTTTAGTCAACACATAATTTCTTGTAGCAAATAGAAGCAAATTTGACATTTCAAAACTGTACCAGGATTTCTGAAGAAAAATTGGATTTTTTTTGTAAAAGATTATTATTGCAATGAGTGCTTTTGTTTCTGTTTATCCTGCCATCTTACTTTCCTGACCATACCCATAAGAATTATTAGAGCCAAAATGGTTGCTCAGCTTTTTTGTTATAACAATTCCTAGAAATGCAAAGCAATTTGAAAGCTGCCATTTCACAACATCTGCATGTAAGACACTATATGCTACTTTGTCTCCAAAGATTAAACTCCATCATTTGAAACAGGGAGAAAAATCATTCAGCTTCTCAGAACCAGCTATGACAGAGTACTAAATACGTCCTAAAAAGTGAGGAATGCTCCAGTCTGATGCTGAGTGACTTGTTTTAAGACAAGTTTTGTTTCACTGATCTTTGGTTTATGATATCTGGTTGAAAGATGACATATTGTTGGAAGTAGTGATGCGTAAGTTCCACATATGTATCAGGATGTAATAATGATTGTGGAAAGAGTGGGGGTTTTGGCTCAAGACAGTAAGTTTTCTGATTAATTAAAAAGGGGAAAAATATATTCTCTGACAAGCTAGGAATATAGGGTGCATTTTACCACTCAGAGGAGCCAACACTTTGCAGGATTAGGCAAATACCAATTCTGCGGCTGTTATTCATCAATTTTTGCAGAAACTAGATAAAGCTAAAGCAGTCTCACCATCTTAATTTTTTCCTAACTCCTAGGCCTTCATTTTTCATCTTGACAATGTTTCTTTAGAGAAATGGTACAGTATAAACACACCTTCTGAAGGAATTAAGAGAGACAAATACTGAGAAGTACCACAGAATTCCTACATTCTTGCATGGACAGAGAACATCCTGCAAATAGAAGGGGACGACAGTTTCCTACTCTTGGATTTTCTAAGTATCCC